ACTTTTTTTTTTTTTTTTTTTACCAAGGATGAACCTACTTTGGCACATCATAATCGCTCAAAGTCCAGAATTTACCTTGAAGTTCACTCCTGGTGTTGTGCATCCTGTGGGTTCGGACAAATGTATAATGTCATCATTATAGTGACATGCAGAGTAGGTGCACTGCCCTGAAAACCCCCATGCTCTGCCTACTCGCCTCCCTCTCATCTCTCACCCCCTCTACACCACTGTTATTTGTAGTGTCTCCACAGGTTTACTTTTTCCAGACTATCGTAGACTTGGAATCACACAGTACGTAATCTTCTCAGATTGGCTTCTTTCACATACAAATACGCATTTAAGGTTTCTCCATGTCTGTTAATGGCTTGATACTCATTTCTTTTCAGTGTTGAATAGTATTCCATTGCCTGGAGGTCCTACAGTCTATTTACCCATTCACCTAGACATGGCAATTGTGAACAAAGCTTCCATAATCATCCACGTGCAAGTTTTCATGTGGAAGTGAGTTTTCAGCTCCTTTAAACGAATAATGAGGAGTATGGTGGCTGGATGGTGGGGTAAGAGTATGTTTAGGTTTGAAAGAAACCTCCAAACTGTCTTCCAGAGTGACTGCGCCATGTTGCATTCCCACCAGCGAGTGAGTGAGAGCTCCTGCTGCTCCAGATCCTCGCCAGCACTTGGTGTTGTCTGTCTCTGGATTTTAACCACCCTAGTAGGTGTGGAGTGCCACCTCCTGTGGTTTCACTTTGCATTTCCCTGATGTGGAGCACCTTTTCAGCTATTTATTTGCCATCTGTGTATCTTCTTTGGTGAGGTTATCTGTTAAGGCCTTTGGCCCATTTTTTAATTGGTTTGTTTGTTTTATTATTGTTGAGGTTTTTTTAAATTAAAATATATCTGACATATAGCACTGTACAAATTTAAGGTGTACAGCTTGTTAATTTGATACATTTATATATTATAATATGATTGTCGTTTATAGTGATAATCGGCACCTTATCATGTTATATAGTTATTCTTTCTTCTTAGTGATTAGAATCATTAAGTCCTTAGTCTTTCAGCAAGTTGGATACTTATAATACAATCCTGTTGTTGTTAATGTTTACTAACGCTGTGCACTAGATCTCTTGGGCTTATTTACTACTCTTATTGTTGGGTTTTTTAAATTCTTTGTGTATTTTGGATAGCAGTCCTTTATCAGATGTGTCTTATGCAAATATTCTCTCCCAGTCTATGAATAATGGTTTACTTTTCAAAATATATGTTGATGCTTTACTTTTAGTAACAAATGGCTTCAGTCAGATCTTCAAATGATTATCACATTCAAACACATATCACATGTATTGTAACACTGCAATTTAAACGTTGTTTTAGAGATAGACTGTCCAATGTTGTCATCTCTAGCCAGTATTGAATACTTGCAATATGGCTAGTATGACTGAGAAACTGAGTATTTAATTTTACCTAATTTTAATTGAAATTTAAGAAACAATCTTTAATTCACTTATTTAAAAACTTTTAAATATGTTCGGAAGAAGTTGGAGATGTGAATCTACTTTTCAATTATAAATGTTATGAAACATGAATGCCTAAAGAAAATTTAGAACATTTAGAGCCTGAATTGAGGAGTACTGTTACTCTAAAATGCATACTGAGTTTTGGGGACAATATGAAGTAAAAGCACAATGCCTAATTAAAGTATTTTGCATTGATTATATGTGGGAATGACAAATTTTAGCTATATTGGGTTAAATAGAATATATTACTAAAATTAATTTAACCTATTCCTCTGTTACTTTCTTAACTTGGAAACTAGAAAATTTTAGGAAGCATATGTGGTCACACTGTGCGTCTATGGGCAGCTCTGGTTTAGGGACCATGGTGACCTCAGGTTCATCTGCTCATTCAAGCATGTCAGGCAGTTTGCTAACCACTCATGAGCAAGCCACACCAGGCAGCTGCTTGCTTTCTCAGAGCGTACACTGTAGTGCTGCAGAAGATAATATACAAATTAATAAGCCAATTACAGGTAATGATGCGCTTCAGTGAAACCAGCAGGGACCTGTCATGACAACTGCTGTGAGGGTTGAGACACTCATGGGCTGGTCCAGGAAGGTAGGTGAAAGGAGGTGAAAAAAGAAGCTGATACCTGAATGATGGGAAGAAAACAGCCTTAGAAGGATCAGAATAAAATAGTGTTCCAGGCACAGGGAAGAGCAGAAGCTGCTGGTTTTCTTTTCCACCCAAACCTGATGACCAACAGTAAACCACGACGGAAGCACACACATACCCATGAGTGTGCGTTCCCACTGAGCAGAGTCCACGCGCCCTTAAGGCAGGGACTTCCTCTAGATTCTTCACTGACGGATATCAAGTAATTAAGCATTCGGTAAAATACATGGAGGAAGTCTCAATTAGGTAGGTTAGTGGGTGTCTACCAACACTCCTGCAAAAACACCTCAACTTGGGTGGTGGACACACAGTGCAATATACGGATCATGTAACATAGAAATCCACACCCTACACCTATATGATCTTATTAACCAATGTCACCCCAATAAATTTAATTTTAAAAATACCTCAAGAACATTTCTGGGGCCTCAGGAGCCTCATGTTCCTAAGTCAACTTGTTCTGTGCCTGATCATTGTTGGAGAAATGCCATAGTTGAGATTATCTAGAAACAACCACTGGCTCCATTAATGACTACAGATAAACAGGAATAATAGCAAAGTAAGGGCCTTGGTAACTTAAAGGGCCATGAAAGAATCAAGACATGAGAGGGAGCTGAGTCTACATGAAGAAATGTCACCTTATATGTTGTGCAGAGTAACAGAATGGGCTGGTCAGAGTTAGTTCCCTGAAGGAATGTTAAAGGCGGCCCAGTTTATGTTCCAGACCCATGGCCCATCCTGTGGCATGCTAATATCCTTTTTACGTGAAAGTCCACTAAGTTATGGATCATGTAAGGCAGAGAACTTTTTCTAGACACGAAGCTGTCCAGAATTCAACACAAAGGCCCATAGCTCACATTCTGTGCATTTTCTTTGCAGTCTAATTGGAATATAAGCAACCGCCTGGTTCCTCCATAAATTGTCTTCATCACAGTTCCTAAGACTTAATCTTGCTGTGTGGATAAGGTTGAATGTTCCCTCATCAAGTAACCATCAACGGCCACCACAGTGCCTATGGACGGCTGTGGGAAT